TACCACTGTTGATTGAGGTTGTTCGTCGTCAAAATAGCCGATTGGATGCACAAGTTCACCAGATAAAATATGCGTTTCAAGTTCGCAGTAGTCTTCTGGATGCTTTGGTTGAGGTTCACAGTCAGTAAATTGAGTTATCATTAACTTTACTGAAAGCGTTTTACGTGTAAAACATTCTCGTTGTGGTTTGATTTCATGAATATGCCACGATTCGATTCCGACGGGCCATAAAGAGTCAGAGACAGTTATATCGTTTTGTTCGGTTGAGAATGGAGATTGTTGACCATAGGAGCGTTCATCTTCAAATTGGGATGGTTGCACGACTGTTTCGATTTCCCGCTGATCTTGAGTTAGTCCTTCAGTAAAAGACTGTCCAAGTCGATCTCGACGTTCATCCGAGTCCGTGCAACGGGGGCAAATGAATAAATTTGATTCAAGTTCAATTTTTTTTATCGACTGCTTCATACAAGCAAGTGAGGCAGATTGTGTGCGAACATTGTAGTATTGCATACTCATACATAAATACGCAATCGAAGCAAAAAGCTTCTGTGTGATCAATACTGGAAACTTGAGGGTCAATCATTGGATAAGATAAGAGAGAATAGGAAGAAGATCAAGAGAAAAAAAAAGACTTCGTTAACAGGAAGGGTAGATTCGAGTGTCGCGGTCGCCAGTTGTAACGATTCTTGAGTTTATTATCAAAAAGAATGATCCCTCTCTTCTCTCACGTCCACTCTTTGTATATCGATCGTGGAACGAGAGAAGGAGAGAGAATATCTTATGCAGAGAAGGGAAAAAGAACAATCATTGAGTATGAACAAGAACGGTCGAGACATAGGATAAACTCATTAGTGATATATGCTTGTATAGTGCATACGATTACATTGAATATGATGAGTGATAGACGCACGATACGGTAATTAACACTAGGTGAATATATAAGAAGAGAGAGTAACATGTTAGCTAACAACAAATGATATGATAAGTAAGAACAGCAAACAAAAACAATCATTTCACACAACGGTGACAGTAGATAGTGATGCATACACGTTCAACCAGGGTTGTCACAATGAGCAATGTTAATTGGTTGACTGCGATGAGCTAATGTGTTGGATCAGATGAATGAGATGAGTTAGATCGTAATATCTATGGATGGTGTGGGTGTGGGTGTTACTGTCATCTTCCCTTTGCAGCACCCACACCCCACACCCCTTGATGTACAGAGTGTGCTTAGAAGCAAGAAATAAGATCAGTATGAAAAACGATAAATAAATATTGCCTTAAGCTTCTCCCTAGAAGAAGACCAACACATATGTGGAACATATTTGAACTCGAACTTCCAAAGTCTACGTAAGTCCTCTTGTTCTTTAACCCACTATGCAATAATTTTAAGTGATGCTGCATGCCGATCGATATTATTTAATCATGAGAGCTTTATGCCACACTTTGTCTTATGCTTTTTTTTATAGTCTACGTATAAGGCAAACTTCGGTACATTCACTGCCATATTGTTGCTCGCTTCTTGATTGATTGATAGATAAATAGATAGCACCCGAATGAACAAGAGACCAACAGGGTAGAATTCAATATGTTTCAGTGACACAAGTGGATTACTTTTCACCCAGTGTCGTACCCATTATAATATTACTTTTTCAAAGAGTTTAGAATTTATGGCAAGAAGAGATGTAGGTTTTTGTATAATTGCATCGTGGGATACCAGCTCTTAATTTATTCAGTGTGGCTATTTTAGCTATTTTCCCAAGCGAGAACAGTGGCTCCTGAATTCGGATGACTTCTCATAGATCCTGGTGGATTTTGTGGGAGTGACTCTAGCGCGTAAGTTTGAATGAAGGAATTGCCTGTATCCTACGTATCAAACATCAACTTATTTTTACGTGTGTCAAACCTCAAGCTCTTCCCAACCTTGGAGCTGAATCAAAGACCCAGCTGTACCGATATTGATGGCAAGCTTCGCTGATTTTCTGTGAAGTTATTATACTCTGGATATGAGAAAGAGCGAATAAACATCAGTGCCGAAAGCTCCAGTACAGTGTGTCGGTGTATAGCGACCCTGGCTAATGACTCCTTGAAAATGTTCTTGAAGTTAGTCTCTTTATCAATAGCTACAACATTATATAGGTGACTCAAGAAGTCAATTGAAGTGCAATATGGCCAATCAACTACTATACAATGTGTGAAGTAGAAAGCATGCTTTCAAACTTTGAAATTCAAAGTATATAATTTAAATCTATCAATTAATAATGGTTTACTTTTAAAAACAGATAAAGCACACGAAAATATCTAATGAATGGCTAATGATATATTGTCAAGTATAGATGAAATAAATCGAATTAATTTAGGTAGTTTTATTTCACAGATGAGTATAAATAATCGTCGATTATTGATTCATTCTTGAATTCAAACATTTTATCAAGAATTACTGCTTGTGATGCCATCGGAATGAAAAGATCACTACTATGATATTAAAACGATTAAGATGCAAGAAACTTTTCTGAGAATACATTACTCCTTGAAGTACTTCAGTCCCATCCAACTCCGTACTACAAATCACAAAAATAAATGACTAAGAGTACTACACTTTAGTCTTTTTCAATGAATTCCACATAGTCATGCCTTTCGGCTCATTCACGTTTTTAAAATATAATACAGTACCTATAGATCTACTAATGATCGTTGCATGAATTTTTTATTTCGCGTTTTTCCGATTGCACAACGACAAAAACAGAAAGAAAGATTGAATGAAAGTAACGTAAATTATGAATAAGTAAATGTTAATGATTAATTGATTTTTGGCAAGTTTTGGGCGATAAATTTACTGACATCTTCCATTTCCTAAAAGAAGAAATCATACATGAGTAAGATATCATTAAAAATCTTGAGCTGATAAGCCGGACAGTCTATAAATATCTACTCTACGTAGGATTGATCATCTGTTAGATAATGAATCTTAGAGTGTCAGCAATTGGTTTTTTTTCCGTGATACGATTTTCTTAAAATAGATGTACTGAGTTGCCAAACATACGTTAGATATCTAGTATGAATAACTTAATGCTCTATCAATTAGTTATTTCTGGTTTAATCTGTAAAAAATCAATATACGTAGGATAAAAATAGTTTACTTGATGACATGACTCATGACTCATATTTCTATATTCTTTGAAAGCATATTGTTTAAATCCCATCGCTTTAACTCCTTGCTCAGTGAGACGAGCCCATTGTAATTGAACCAGCGTATCTTGATCACCTATACAGACAAAAAAATATATATTCTTTTAAATATCTTTTTAATTTATATAATTACCATGACATTGAAGAATTGGTAAATTGATTTTTTTATCACCGGCTACAAGTGCCTAATAAAAATCAATCTTTTTGTTTTCAAATATAATCTAATTAAAAATGAAGCCAACTTGAGGAAATGTTGTAGACAAGGGCAGCCATGTCGATAAAGCCACTACTCCGCCAAGTGTATGAGGAGAAGTTAGTGCTAAAGAAAATACATCAAAGGGTATGTCAGACAAAAATAATAGAATACCTGCATGAATAGCAACAGCGCCACCCCTAAAAATAGAATAGAACTATTTTCATAAGAATAAAAATATGATCGTGTTCTTACATTGAAAAACCACCGACTATCTAAAAATATTGAAAAACTATAGAAATTAATTCAAATTTGATTTACTTACTATACGTTCTGGTGATATTCCATTTTTAATTTCTTCTTCAACAAGCTCATTTACTAACAATACTATCGTTAGCGATTTAAATTTGAAAAGAAAAACTTACAAAATTTTGACGATTTTTCAATGCCTGCTTGATCTTCTCTAGCATTTTTGTCAAGACCATAAATATCAAACCCTATTGACAACCTTTATTTTCTTGGTTCGATCTATTAAAAAAACTTACAAGCTGGCATGGGCATTCCCATATTTAATGTAACTCTTTGAGTTGGACTATTAAGAGACAAGATAAAATTAGTCGTATAAATCGATTCGATTTATTTTGTTTCGACTTACGCATTAGGAAATATAAATTTTACGTATGGAACAGCTTTGTGAATTCGATACATCTCAATGGCTTCCCGCCAACTTGCTCTGTAAGAAACAAAATCAAATAATAGAAATAAGACCAATGTTTTTTTATTCTAAGAATCTTTTGTTTCATGATTTCACTGGATAGCATTCGTCAAGAGATTTCGTGTAAGGATTTCTACAATTCAAATTATTTCGAAATTTATTCTGGTACAAGTTTTGAAGAACTTAGTAAGCTTATAAAGAAATCATACCCAACATCACCGAGACCATGCAAAAAGATCACCTAAATCAACGAAGAAAAAAATAGATAACTAGTTAAAACGTAAAGAAAAATCAATTTACACTAGCAGTTTGTTTGGCCGTAGCTGCAATAGTAGCAGGTGGTGCACTCATTTTATTAATGTTAATTTTCGATAATCTAGATTGATAAATCCAACAGTATAAAAGAAAATCAAACAACTGAACAAATATGGATTTTCTTTTATTCAATAATACTACAAAAGTGAAACAAAAATCATTGAATCAATCCTAAAGTTTAGCATCCATCTTCGGTAAATGTTGTTTGATAAAAGCAATAACATCAACGATTTCCTAAACACAACAATGGATATCATTATTTATATTTCAATTTCTCGTGGTAAAAAAAAGATTCAATTGTAATTTACTTCATCGCATGATGAATGAACCATTCCTTGATATTCTTTAAAAACATATTTATTAAATCCCATCGCTTTGAAAATTTTTCCACTCAATCGACCCCATTCCATTCGAACGACTGGATCTTGTACTCCTATTTAAAAAATAGCAAATGGAAAATCTTGTTCTTTCGATTAATTTTCTTAAATACCATGACATTGAAGAATAGGTAAATTTTGTTTCTTGTCACCGGCTACGAGTGCCTAAAAGATTTAAGAATATTTCTATTATTTTTGTTAACTACCGTGAAATAAACCTTAGGAAAAGTTGAAGATAGTGGAAGCCAAGTTGATAGAGCTAGAACACCGGCTAATGGATGTGTTGTCGTTAATGCTAAAATTCAAGACTCTATAAAAAAAACTATTCAATGAAATTAAAAAAACTAAATTACCTGCATGAAGAGCAGTAGCACCGCCTCTAGTAAGTCAGAGAGATACTTATAGAAACATGAAAACGTAATTAAAACTCACTGTGAAAAACCACCAACCATCTGAAACAAAACAAAATCGGTGCAAAAAATATTTCTTCTGAATTTTCTGTTTACTTACAACGCGTTGCGATGGAATTCCATTATTAACTTCATCTTGAATTAAATCATTGACTATGAAAAAATAAAAAAATAAAAATTCTAGAATAGAAAAATCCTATTTACCATATTTTGATGATTCTAATATTCCTTGTTCATCTTCTTTTGCACTACGATCAAGACCAAATGCATCAAACCCTTTTGTTTAGAAAAAGAATACGTCTATGGAATTGTTTGTGTTTTATATCAACTTACAACCAGTCATTGTCATTCCATAATTCAATGTAATCGGACGAATCGGTCTAATCATAGATGATTATATTAATAAAACTATATCATTTTGATTCGTCACTTACGCTGTTGGAAATATGAATTTTACATGTCGAGCAGCTTTCGATATGTTATACATATCAAATACTTCAAGCCAACTTTCTCTAAAAATATTGAGTAAGAGTTTTCATTGGGCTTGGAGTGATGCTACTTGATAGTGATTAGTGGAGAAAAATAAAAGCTAGTCGTCAACTAAAGTCTTATATGTAGAGGAAAACTCTGGCTTTTAATGAAAAAAAAATCGTAGTAATCACTTACCCAACATCACCGAGACCATGTAGGAAGATTAACTAAAGTATTCGAAGAGTAAATACTTCATTCGTGGAATGGTATAGAATACCTTACACTAGCTGTATGCTTGTCAGACGCAGGAATAATAGCAGATGGCTTATTCATTTTAATCGATTTACTAATTTTTTCTCCAGCTTGCGACATTGATCTAAATAAATGTTTAACTCGAATTTTATTTGAATTTTCCGAATAAAATATTCTAATTTACGATGAAGCGCTTGACATGGAACGATAGAATATGGTTCCGAGAATAGCTAAACTCATTGTAATTATGAAGAAAATAAAATATGTATTCAGAGCCACTATTTTTTCACTGTATCAATATAATTGTACATTTAATGGTATTGTATGTAACTTAAAGATATAGACTACAGCAGCGAACAGTCTTCATCAATATGAAATGCACTTACTAAGACGACATCTGCATTTGTTAGAATTGCATATCGGAAAAAGAAATCTTGATAGAAAAACACTGAATTAATTGACATATTTATTTATGTATTTTATTTTATTTTGAAGGATAAGTTACATGTAAACGATGACACTACGATGCAGTCATATATTATCATCAATACACATGTGTGAAAAATAAAAAAAAAACGTTGTCGTTAATATAGCTAATCAAAACCATTGGTTATTATAGATAATTTCTGTTAACAATGTCTTTTATAAGTTGATTAATAGCAGGTTTTAAGAATGAGTTTCAACCTAAGTGCATTAATAGGTTACCATTTTGACATTGATTTAATGATTCATGTGTGTGTACGAGAAAACAAACAAGATGGGAAGGGTGATGATCACATCTTTTCATTGGTTACCAGTTCGACATATAGAAAAATAAAATGACTTCGTCTTGTTTTACTAATACTACTAAATGGAATCATTTTTATCTCTCTATAACTAATCAAAAACTCCGTGAGCATGGATGCTTGGTTTACATCTTCATGAAAGCCTTTCATCGGTCTGAGGATATCTGATGCTTTTTCGCCGACTTATCGTATTTGGTAAAGAAAGCCCAATGGATTCAAAATCTTTATACCTGCAAGCGAGTTGACACTCATTAATCAAAGCTCTGATTTCTTAGTTATTTTCTTACATTTATGATATAAGTGATTCAATATAGACGATAGATTCAAATTCATATATTAGACTAAGCAGATTTATTTATATATTTATAGACAAATAAAAAATAAGGTACAATCTATATCATTGAATACAGTCTAAGTAATTAGCACTGCAAAAGAAAATATATTCGTTCACAATCAATACTTCATTATTGAAAAAATTTTCTTTTTTTCTCTCACTAGCATTGTCAGATGAAGCAGAAGCAAAACACAAGAGAAAAGCAGATCATCAAACTTGAAAGGGAACTCGATATAAGTGCCTTATTGTTTAATGAACACTTATTGTTAACTTCATTTGGTCGAGGCGTGCTAGGAACATATGATGTAGTTAAATTGCGTACATCATATTTATACAATTGTGACGGCTTGGGTGTTTCAACCAAACGAGATGTAGTTGAATGATCTATATATTTATAATACGTTGTTCTTGGTTCGTTATACATTTGCGGTGGTTTGTAGGTTTCATGCCACCTAGGTGTACTTGACTCTTGTGCATAATGGTTATATTGTGGTGGTGGATGATTTTCCGATATAGATGCAGACTCTGGAGCTTGATGTTCATGAAGATTCGGCAATTGAACTGTTTCTTGTGGTATAGCATAGGTTATTACTTGTTCCATTTGATTATTGCATCGATCTGTATGGCAACATGTCAATTGGAGATATGTTTGAGGTTCTTGGCCCATTTGTTGACATTTAGCCGCTGATGTCCATCCATGATGCCATTTGATTGTCCCTTTCGATATATCGTCCGGTGTACATCTCGAATGATGAGTCGATCCTCGTAATGGACGAGAACAAACACCTTTATAACTGAAACAAGTGCAACCGACTTTTTCACATGACTCCCTTTCTGCAGTTTCATGTACTGTTATATGAGCATTTTCATATCCATAACCGAGGAGCGTGTTAGATTTTGGATCTCTTGTTTCTTCGCGTTCAAATTTAGTGTAACATGTTATTGGTTTACCGAATTGATTTTCAGTTGAAACTTGTGTAACGATGAGAATCAGCGAAAATAATAACAAGTGAATGATGCTAAACATTGCTCTTATCGGTATGTTTGTGTGTGTACGCACTGCTAGTAGATCACATATAATAATTTCTCGAGTACTAGTATCTCTATATTTATATACGTATCATTTAGCAATTCTTCCTTTTTCTTATCATTTCTGTCGAAATAACAACAAAAATAAAACCTGTAGCTATATATATACACGCTAAAACGAATCATAAAAATATGTAAACAGAGGATTGTTAATTTATTCTCTTCTCCTATACTGCTGCCCGATCGTATTCACCGTAGTCCTTTTTGCGTCATATGATCTGCTCGTATAACAAATGTCATCTTTGTGATTATTTTTATCGTTCTTCTAATGCAGTCAATTTTCTTGTTCTTCTGTACAGTATAGAAAAATAAGTCAAGCTTACTGTAATTTACACTCGGCAGCATGACGTCGCGATCTCTGTTACTCTCCTACGATATATTTTTATTTTTGTCTTAGCAAACTAATGAGGGCACCAGAAAATAAGAAAACAAGATATTTTTTCGTTGAATGGCATATTCATGGCGAATTATTTATTTTTTAAATTGAAAAAGTGTGCTTAGATTTATTTAGAAATTAAAAAAAAACATACAGATACAGAAAATTAATAATAGAATCTTTTATTTCAGACAATCTTGATTTATTCAGTATTTTCTGCATCACGAATAATGTGTGAACCTATTAAGAAAAACAACAACAATACAATCGCTCAATTGAAATCGTTTAGTTGCAATTTTACCGTCAAGTTTTTTCAATGGTTTTAAACGTTTTTGAACTTCTGCTTGCCAACTATCTTGACTGCCACCATTATCTTCTAAGAATTTATCATGTAATGGATTGCCAGTAAAAACTAATTCATGAAGTGTCTGTAATTCTGCCTAATAAAATCAAGCTTTTAATGATACGAAAGTCACACGTGATTTTTCTTACTAATTTTTGAAATTCAACCCATTCTTTAACAAGATTATTACTCATATAGAGTACTTTCAATTTTTTCATTCCACCAATACCTTTTAATTTTTCGATTTGATTATACGATATCCATAATTCTTCAAGTGTATCACCAACAGCTTCCTGAAAAGAAAAACAAAATGTTAAAAAAACTTTATTGAAAAGATTAAATTTTTAAACGTTAAACAATCGATCAATCAGGAACAAATTTTTTCTGTTATGTAATGCAGTCTGATTGAAATCAAAAGATTTTAGTATACAGTTTTGATATCTTATACAACTTCGTGCAAAGTACTGCGGTCATACAACTGTAATCAAGATTTCCAATTCTATTTTCGTCGACCATCACTATTTTATGTGTTAGATCAAAGTAGTTTCATGGAAGATCTGTAGGATTATTTTCGTGTCTAGAAGAAAAACTTATTGAAATGACTTACCAAACCAACAAGATTTTTTATTAAATTTCGTCCAAGTGAAAGAATTTTCAAATTCTCTAAAAATTTTATTCAGCGAGTATATTTTTTGTTATTTAATTCGAACAAATAATCTTACTTAAGCCATTAAGATTTGCGATTTTTTCAATCAAATTGGTTGATAAAGATAATTTTCTAAAAGAACATTCTCAAAAAACAAAAGAAACGAGAGGAATCTTTTTTGCATACTCGCAACTGGTTAATGTTGAAATAGAAGCATCCATTTTATCAATGGGTGGAAATTGCCCATAGAGTAAAACTTCTTTTGCATCAGGCGCTTTTTGTTGCGTTTTTTCTTCCTATGAAAAAAAGAAAATTTAAATTATCATTTTCTAGTTTATTTTTCTAATTAAGTATTTACCCATTTTGCTAGAGCTTCTTTCGTTGTCATACTTGCTTTCGCCGCCTACAGTATTCAAAATGGTTTGATCTCATTATATTGAATTCAAACTATGACTTACCATGATGTGAGTTCTTCTTTTGTATTTGAAGCTATTTAGTAAGTTTTAGAAATACAATCTACGACAGGTTGGCGATGAAACTGAATGCGAAGCCATTCAGCTTGTTAGTTGCTTAGATACAAACTCGATTGATGATGCAAGTTATTCGGGGTTTTTATGAAGTTATATGTTGAGATGAAATCTATTATTTCAATTAATATAACTAAATTTATTTGTGAACAACATAACAATAATAGGTCAACATATTCGATTCTTACTGACATCTATCATGGGTATACTTCCACTAGAAAAAAAATTTTCGGTTCATTGAAGTTAATTATGTGAGTGTACGTCTCACAGGGGAAGGTTATGGAAACGCTAAACATGCATATCAAGTAACTTTTCGTACGGAAATAAAATGCAAACAGTTGATAAAACGTCTGTTTAGTATAAAAGTAATTTGAGAGTGAAGCTAGCAATATTGTTTTACCCAGTAATTTATGCAGATGTATTTCAAAAGTTGATATTTAGCAGATCATTAGCCAAAAGCAGGTTGGATCCTGATCGAATTGCAAAGATCAGCGCCAAAAGAACTAGATAAATTTTGTTACTCATATATCCATGCGTTTCTATCATGATGTTTTTTCTAGAATATATAAAATGATACTGAGGAAAGATGCTAGACCAACTGGAATAGACTACAGAATCATAGGATATGAAATCTCAGTGGCGTGTATTTTTGAGTAGCATAAGTCGAATATGAGTCTAGTGTTTATCTAATCTGCATGACATCGTATTGAATATATTTGCTAACTAACCTGAAACTCTATATTAATCTAAACATTATATTGAAAACAAACGAGCTGCAAATCGTTGAGATGATTAATCAATTTTGTCTTAATAACTTTTTAATATTTATTGAAGCATTATGCGTAAAGAAATTGATTTTTTAGTTCATAATTGTTTTTTTCTTCTTGTTTATAAATATAATACTTTTCTAATTATTCTTATGCGATAATTGAATATCAAGAACAAACAAACTTATTAGAATCTTTTAACATGTTCTTCTCGTTTAGCCGTTAGACTTTAACTGAATAAAATAAATGATTATCTCTTTGCATAGAAAAAAAAACAGATAATCATATGCGTGACCATGTCGCATACGATAAATGTTTCAATTGAAATAAAATAATATTTTAGTGCATAAAAAAAAAACCGCTACAAAGAACAAGAACTGAGTGCATAGAATAGCGGGATTATATGAAAGCATAATGTCTGTTCCTTTTCCCCTTCCTCTATTCAGTTTATTAATCAGCTTTAAAGATAATGCTGTTTAGATTTGATGAAGAGCATGAGTAGCACCAGTATGTGACGGTATTTTTCTACACTAGCAATATATAAAACCATCATTTTCTACTTTTCGTGATTACGTGTCAAACCTTTTTTACCTCCCTTTTTTTATTCTAACCAAAATGCATACAGCAGAAGTGTGAATACGTCGCACGCCTGCTGCTGCCGCGAATAATAGAATCAGATGGGATAAATGCAAAAAAGGAAAACCGAAAATGCTTTTTATTTCTCTTGTACCCTTTTTATCATCAACTATTTAGAAATGCTTTCACTTGGAGAAATGAAGAAAAAATTCTTTTCTATCAATCAGTCAAAAACGTTTTGAAAAATATAGCACCACGAGTTAGTGGTGATAAATTTCCTGAGAGTCACAACAGAATTATACATTTACCCCGTTAGAGATAAAC